CCTACTTAAAAATATAATGCATTGCTGGGACTTGTAGTTCTGCATAGTTGGTGCTATTCTGCATTGCTGTATAATCATTATACAGCAATGCAGAATAGCACCAACTATGCAGGACTACAAGTTCTAGCAATACATTATATTTGTAGGTTTTGATGCACCAGTGCCAATACTGGGTTTTTTCACATGTATTTGTGAAAATGCCCCATACTAAGCGCAGGCAAAATTACAAGGGTCACAGCGGTCGCATTTGACCGAGCCCTGGTGTTCAGCCAGTTGGAGAAAGAAGAGGGCCCAGGGAGAAAGAAGAGCTATACTTATACTGATACCGGAACTTCTGCCTGGCTTCCTGATTGGCAGAGAAGCCGGATCCATGCTCCCTCATCACTAGGGGGCATGGAGCTGGCTTTCCGGCCAATCAGGAAGCCGGGGGGCGGTTATTGACTCGCACTCCAGCTTCCTGACTGGCCGGGAAACCGGCTCCATGCTCCCTCGTCGCTGGTTATGTTTAACCGAATATGCATAAATAATTTGTTGCATTTCCATTGTCCTTGTCTGTGACTACTATAACACAACATACTGTATATACACCAAGTCATAAAGTAATTCTTCTGGAGAATATTTTTGACAACAGTTCCCCTTGCAGTCAGTGCTTTGTCTGTAATGCATGTACTGGGGTTGTCCGAAAATCAGGGTTTAGTGACTTTCCAATGTGAATGACCAAATCTGACCATTCCAGAGACTCTTGGACATGCAGAATGAGTGTTAAAGACTTCCATGGGATCTCATACTCCAGCTCCTATCTAGAAGTTTTTTGTCTTTTCCAATGTTGATTTCTCTCTTTTTTAGTGATATGTTTTGCCTGAATATTTATTTTCTATCCCATTAGGATTATGAGAAGAAGTTACGAGATCAGGGTATAAATACTGCAGAAACCCATCTAGATTCACATAGGATTCGGGTTGCTAAGTATCTTCATAAGGTAAATTCACACTGTAGCATGGTATTCTCTAAAGAACGTTCGAGTGTACCCAAAACTTTTTATTTTTAATTTTGAATGCTATACTTGTTCAGTAGAGAAGAGATTCTTCTCTGAAGTATATAAGTTTTATAGATACAATCATTTTATATACAGCCTCTGTATCTTAATTCATCTCTGTACAGTTTATAGCAAGGCAGATGACTGCTGTCTCATCTAATTCAAATCCATTTCACCAACAGATCCGGGAATCTGTGATAAACCGCTTCCTGATAGCGAAACATAATTTTATTCTTTCCGACTTGGTTGTTGAAGAGGAAATCCCCAGTCTTGGGTAAGACAAGTTTGATGTGTTGCAAATGTTGATCAATGTTAATAAAACACAGGGGCCCATTAATTAGGATGTTAAAATGCAATCTCTATGGCCACATGATATTTGTTGCCATACCTGACAAACTACTAACTGACATTTGAAGGCAAGCCGAGTATCACTGTTTAGAAATCCTCTCTGAGGATGACGTTTCCTTTATTGAATAAATGTTTGCCTAAAGCTGGCCATACATTAGGCGTTATCCACGGGCTGAGCGAGGAAAATAACGCCTGATTTCCCCATCCATACTCAACATCATGGATGGAGGAAAATTCCCCTGTTTGTATTGTGACAGCGGATGGGTGTTCTGCTGTCAGAATACCTAACAATGACTGTAGCTGGTTGTCTGCAGTCATTGTTTGACTGAAAATTTTTGACCTGGCTCCTTCAATATTAGTTGAATGAAAAAAACTACTTTTATTGAACAGAGGAGTGTTGGCAGGGCCACATACAGCCCACATTTCAGCTGAGTCAGCAGATACTCGAGCGGTATATGGCCAGCTGAAGTCATGCTATTAGGCTGTTGTCTTTTTGCATAAGACATTTGATAAGAAGTGGGTTGGAGTGCGCTTCTTTGCATGATATCTTCACAATGTCATTGCATGTGACTCCCTGGAGCCAGTTCGAGTTTTTGGTGTATACTGGAAAACATTCGGTGAGCGTGGTTCAAGACAGGAATTGGGTTATTATAGGCTATATCCTACACAACACAGCAATGTCAATAGTGGACTTTTCAGGTACCCACACAGACAATAGTTGTGATTTGATAAAAACTCAAATTCTTTATTTACATTAAAAAATATTTTGAATAAAAAACATGAATAATGTAAACTGGTAAGTATGGCTCAAGTAATCGGTGTAGGAGGATGTGGTCTCTCTGTCCCTACACCCCTCCACTTTATCCCAATGATCAAGTCTGGGATATCTTGGCTATTTACTGACATGCCCTTTGGAGATTGGTTGGTGCACCTCTTTTTGTGGGGATGTGTTTAACTAAAACAATCTGTATTGCACACCTAGTTTCCTGATATGGGGTGTAGCTTCCCTGATGGTCCAGGTACCCCACCCTCCTGGTTTTAGCAGATGCATGCAACATGTTTGCTCACCACCAGCATACCTGAAATACTCCTGAGTTTTTCGTTAAAAGAGAATTATGGGGTAAGTGAAAAACACTCATCACCATAATTCAAGCCGACCTGTGACACGGAATCTGTCACAGGTCGGTTCTATTGATTGGGAAGTCAGCGAACACATACCACCGATCGCTCACTTCCCGATCCTGTCCCTGCAGAGAGCTGTAACTGTCATTCACTGCTCCCTGCAGGGATTCCCCCCTCTCCTCTCCGTTTCTCCAGTGCTGACTGAAGGAACAGAGAGGGAGCGGGCACGGCTGGCTCTTGAGAGGCAGAGCCAGCTGTCAACAGCCAGCCGGGTGGATCGCGATATTATTGTTGGGATCCTTCGCCGGTGTGCTGCGGCTCTGTGCTCTCAGCATATAATGGGCAATAGTCCTCTATATACTGAGTTTTGGGTCACCGGAGGACATTAGTATATGTCCTCCTGTGGCCCTGAAGAGAATTATGGGCAAAAAAAGGTTGCCCCATAGTTTTCCTTTAAGTGTGTTGCATATATACAAGAATGGTCTGACAAAAAACTCTAGTAGATTATTTGCATCAATCAGAGTGGGCTGTTTGTGAGGGTGACATTAGATGGAGCCATACTTTTACATTATTCATTATTTTTTTATGGATTGTATGTAAACTATTGACATTGCTGTGTTGTGTATTCTACTATTGGGATATGGTACCCCATTGAACGTCCTTGGAACTCATTTTCTACTATGTTGTACACTATAACCTGCTAATAATTGTTTCCAACACATCTGCAGCCTGAGCTAGGTTTTCTCACACTTATGCTGACAGACACCTTTATACTTGTACAGTCAGTATATATGTATGAAAAGTTTTCTCTGACCCATAGAGTGATTATAACATGTTCATTGTGACACAACAGGTCTGTTTTGTGTAACAAGCTGTGTCCATGGGGGGCAGTGCTCTGCACAAGCTGGAAAAGGTTTAAGTAAATCTGTGACTGGCAGTACCTGCAGTTGCTTTCACTTACAGAACAGTAGGCATATCCATTTTCTGACTGTCTCTTTCTACTTATGTAGAGTGCTCGGGAACAACGTCATCATGCACGCATATAAAAAATAGTGCCCTGCTACTGTGGCCAATAGCTCTGGGCCCTTCCCGATCCTTCCCCACCATGCCATGTTATTGGTCCATCACTGTAATAGGTGCACTTATTAACCATTGGTATGGGGGAGGCCACCAACAGTGACCACAGGAAACTGGTGCTAATGGCATTTCAGAATGGCCTAGAATTCAGGGATGCCAGGGCGCTCTACAAGCAAAAGAAAATGATATATGGGTACCTGGATGTTCCTGCTATTTAATGTTAGTTGCATCTGGAAAATGGGAAGTGATTCTTAGTGCTTTGTAATGTGCCAGGTAGAGTTTGGAGACTTTTGTAACATGTTCCGTGTGTGTCATTCAGGACTGACCTTGGCTACACTACCCCATGACATAGTAAATGGGGGGAATTTATTACAACTGAAGCAGACAGAATATGGAGTAATTATGCATGGCAACCAATCAGCTTCTCTCTTCAGCTTGTTCAGTTAAACTTTGAAAATAAAAGCTGGAAGATGATTGGTTGCCATGCACAGCTGCTCCAGATTCTGTCAGCTTCAGTCCTAGTAAATTCCCCTCAATGAATGTAGTTCTATATTCATGTAGGAAGAGGACAAAAGAAGCATAGGGGCCTTATCGAAGTTCTGGTGCTCCCTCCTTCCTTGTCCAGTCAGCGGCAGGCAGTTGACTATGCTTGAGTGTGGAATGCAGAGAAATCCGAATCTGGCTTTGCTCTCTAGAGGGGGTTTTGGGATCACAAGGCTGAACAGATTTTTAAATAAACCAGATCACATATATTATTTAAATATGTATTTTAGCTACATGCCTAGAGTTTTAAGTCTGAACAGTTTCATTACGTGCTGTATTAATTTGTATTTACAATCTTCTTCTGCTTTGCCTTTGTATTGAGTTCTAGTGGCTCCGGGTATGTTCTCCAATATTGTTCCGACTCTTACTTAGTGCTCTGGCAATGAACCAAGAGTAGGCCTAGGCGTGAGAGCAATTTGCTGAAGCTTTGCAGTAGTTCATGTTTCACATGTATTGATTATTTTTATGCTCCAGTTCTCACCTCTTGGTTATTGCCTTCATGCTTTTATATAAACAAAACTGTTTCCATAAAGTTGATATACTGAATATTAAATGCTGATATGATTCCATTTCAAACAATCATTTAAATTTGTAAGAGAAACTATCTGCTTGAGCTCTTCATTAGAAAAGTAATGGAAATGTGTAATGAATATATCATGTGTGTGCGTGTCTCTCTCTCTCTCGTGCTCTCTCTCTCTCCCCCCCTCTCTCCCCCTCTTCCTCTCCCTCTCTCCCCTCCCCTCACTCTCTTCC